GTAAGTGGTGAGATTGCTGTTCGTAGTTATTTAGAGTTTTTTTATTCACATCTTATGATTGGCGTATGAAACTAGCCTTGAGATACACGTCCGTATAGCTGGTGTTCTATTTCTATTTCTTACAATTCAGTGCACGGTGGCTGGTCACGTTGGAGCGGTTGGACTTCATGCACCAAATCCTGTGGAAGTGGTTCTCAAGAACGCACCAGATGCTGTACAAATCCTCGTCCACAACATGGTGGCAAATCTTGCCAGGGGTCCGCAAAGCTGGTGCAATCGTGCAATCAGCAGCTTTGCCCCGGTAAGGAGTGAAGATATGTTATACCCAATAGGCCGTTTCCGAATTACCTTTGGCCTCTTATTCAAAACGAGGCCTGGTGCTTAACCATTCTTGGCGGGAGGCCTTACACAGGTCAAACACGTGATAGGAAGAGTTGCAACAAGAACGAATCCCCCTGGTAAAAAGCAGATGTGACTTCACTGAGTAGAAACTGTGTTATTGTTCCATCCAATTTGCAATTCTGGGAAAGTTGGGCTTTCTTTAAAAGCGGCCTGTTCCCGGAACTTTTACGATTAGATACGGAGGTTGTTTTAACCTAAATTAATTTCATTTTTTAATATTGTTGTAATTCGTTTTGTTTGTTTGATATTGATTCTTTGTTTGTTTATCTGCTTTTTTGATGTGCTGTTTTCCTTGTGTCACGGACTATCTCTTGTTTGGTTGGTTTTCCAGTTGATTGGACACGTTAAATGACTGTCACTAAAACTAATTTGACTATTCGTTTTATCTTCCAATGCATGTGGAACACTTCAAGGCAATTTATTTCTGTAATAATTTACCACTGTCCCCTGCCAACCCGCTCTAAGAGATACTAACATTCCGCATGTTCGCACACTTCTTCGTGCATAATCTTAGATTCTATAACGTATTTTGATACGCAAGCGTCTGAAGTCTCGTGAAAATGACCCTAAATGTAGAATTTCCCCTGCTACAATTCAGTTGACGGTGGCTGGTCAAGCTATAGTGGTTGGACTTCATGCACCAAATCCTGTGGAACTGGTACTCAAGAACGCACCAGAAGCTGTACAAATCCTCGTCCACAACATGGTGGCAAACCTTGCCAAGGGTCCGCGCAACTGGTGCGATCGTGCAACCAGCAGCCTTGCCCCGGTAAGGAGTGATGATTTGTTTTACCTGATAGGCCATTTCCGAATTACCTTCGGCCTCTTTTTCAAAACGAGGCCTGGTGTTCAACCAGAAAATGAGTTTAATTTGCATGTCAATGAAAACATCATATGAAAGGATGAGCACCAGGACTCGCTTTAAAAAAGAGGCTAAAGGTAATTCGGAAATGGGCCATCATGAAGAGCTTATTTATTTATACTCTTTGATTGGCCTATGCAATCAACTATCTTTCTTAAACTAATACAATGCAAAACGGAAACCAAACCCGACTTGCCCACACTTGTTTTCCCACCCTGGTCCCCATAGGACTCTTTAGCTCCTTGAGATACAACCAATGTATTTCTTGTGTTCTGATTCACCGTTCGGTTATAAATACTGTAGCTTTGCAATTAAGTTTACGACAATTGATTAAAAAGCGGTATAGAGCAATTAGAATTTTTGTTGCACATGTGAGCCATTCCTCTTATCTTTTGTGAACGCTTTCGACAAGGAGAAAATGTTATCGGCGTACATTCAGTTTTGAAATTCACTATAACACCTGTAAGATAAATAAACTCGGGCTTAGAATGTAGGTGTAATGAACCTTATAGGTAGATTTGAATATATCAGCAAAGTTGAAATGATAAATTGGCCACCGTTACGATTATAAAAGCTGACGTTTCGAGCGTTAGCCCTTCGTCGCCATTCGCTCCGACGAAGGACTAACGCTCGAAACGTCAGCTTTTATAATCGTAACGGTGGCCAATTTACCATTTCAACTTTGTTGATATATTCAAATTATCTCGTTACCCCCACCGACGCAGCCCAAAACAGTTTTTGTAGAAACTATCAGCCTTTCCTTATAGGTAGATGTTCGATGCCTTGAGGCCTAAATCCCTACTTACTTAATGCGGCCGAAGCCATATTTTGAAATTTAATTCCAGTAAATGTGATGAATCACTAGGCTGAAAGGAAAACAAAACAAAACGATCAAACAGCCACAGATTAAAACGGAACAAATACTATAAACAACAAAAATAATAAAGTAAAGAGGGAAAACTAAAGAAAAAAATTAACTTTGTTTTAGTTTTGACCTTTTCTTTCTTTCCCTTTTTTTCCAATTTTAATATTTGATTTCCAATGTCTTTTTCGCCCCTCACAGTGGATGGAGGATGGTCAGGTTGGGGTTCTTGGTCAAGCTGCAGCCACCCCTGTGATGTTGGAGTACAGGGGCGATCACGAACCTGCACAGCACCTTTACCTCAATATGGAGGAAAATCCTGTCCAGGAGCAGGGAATGAACAGCGCGTGTGCAACACGCATCCATGTCCAGGTAACTAAGGGTAACGGCTTACTTCGTTTCTATCAGCTTTAAATGACTGGCCACAAATTCAAATGTGTTTCATACTTGCGTCGTATACGAATTTATCTTAAGCGCCCTCCATCAAACAATTTCACTGATGCATCCTGCTTATTATTTAGTCAATGGAGGTTGGTCCAGCTGGTCTGTGTCGGTGCCATGCAGTGTAACTTGCGGCAATGGAGTAGAAACCATTTCACGATCTTGCACAGATCCTGCGCCTAAATATGGGGGAAAGCCCTGTTCCGGAAAAGCAAAGAAAGAGCAGCCTTGCTCGAGAATTCCTTGTCCTGGTAAGTGAGACAATATCACTCTCTGATAGATTATGTTGCGCTGTTAGGTTTATCAAGTTAGGTTTGGTATAGACTGTAGATGGGTCATGGGTATTGGGTAATTTTATCACTTCGTTTTCAAAAGCCACTCAAGTTAGCTCCTTTAGTCAGTCATCCCCGTGTTATTTTGTACGCAGGCACTGTTTATGTAGCAGGGTTAGCCTGACCTGTGTCAATACCACACATTATACATATCCTGCGCCAAAATGACGAGAAAGAATACATCAGCTTGCTTGGCTTAATTGCGCTGGTTTTAGAAACTCTTTTTTATTTCTTTCGCAGTCAACGGGGGTTGGTCTGATTGGTCCATGTTGATACCATGTAGTGTCAGTTGCGGCAATGGAATAGAGATTCTCTCTCGCACGTGTACAAATCCCGAGCCTAAACATAGTGGAAAGCCATGTACAGGAACCACACGAAAGGAACAGGCATGCGCAAGAATTCCTTGTCCAGGTAGGTGTATCTCTGTGAAGATCAGTCTGATGTAATGTTCTACTTCAATTGTGTTTTTTCGAGGTTATGCTGGAGATTTCATATGTGTCCTTATACAGTGAACTCTGGACACCGTTTACGAGACACAAATTTTAGGAATACTTCGTTTACTGATTTAATTTTCTGAGAACACACAAAATGTGTTACAGCGCTACATGTTAAATGTTCTGTCGAATTTACAGTCGACGGTGGTTGGTCAGATTGGAGTGAATGGAATTCCTGTAGTAAATCCTGTGGTACAGGTTTGCAAGAAAGGTCTCGGAGCTGTACACAGCCAGCGCCCTTGCACAGTGGGAAACCTTGTGAGGGGGAATCATTGGAAAATCGTGGGTGCAATACACATTCGTGTCCCGGTATGTAACTGAATTGGAGGCATCTCGTCCATTCTAATTGTCATTGTTTTCTTTTGTCTTTCGTAGAAGTAGGCCTCTCGTCTAAAAGTCAACACCTTGTGAATTAAAGTTTGCTTCATTTTAGATCTGAAAGCGCAAACTTTGCACTGATTAAAGTTCATAGTGGCTACGCAAACACTTAACAGTGCTGCAGAATAAGCTATAGAAAGCAAATCCTTAGTTTACAAGTGTAAAGCCGTAAGCTAATCTCTTGTCAGTAATAGACAAACCTCTCATTGCTGAAATGTAATGGACGGCGGTTGGGGTAGCTGGAGCTTGTGGTCTCGCTGTGACAGAGTCCGTGGCGGAGGTATAAGACAACGCACTCGTTCCTGCACAAACCCACCGCCCTTTTTTGGTGGGAAAGGCTGTGGCTCTCACTACTAGGAGTTCGAGGAATGTGCTGTAAATAAAAGCCCAGGCTAGCTTTTTTCCCTACCCATGTGGCAGTCATTCTGTTGGTGGCTAGTCTAACTACATGTCTGTGCTTTTTGTCGATTTCGTGTTGATCCGTGGTCGTCTGTTTGTCTGTCTATATGTACATCGTCCTCTCTGTTAGTCTGTCTGTCCGTCTGTATGCCCATTTGCCGGTCTGGCTGTTCGTATGGCTTTCTGACTGTTTGTCTGATTATCTGTCTGTCTGTTTGTCTGTGCGTCTGGCTTTCTATTAATTTGGTGGTCTGTCTGTCTGCCTGTCTGTCTGTACGTCTGGCTTTCCGTTAATTTGGTTGTCTGTTTGTCTGTGCGTGTGGCTTTCTGTTAATTTGGCGGTCTGTCTGTCTGTCTGTCTGTCTGTCTGTACGTGTTTCTTTCTGTTTACCTGGTGGTCTGTCCGTCTGTTCGTCTCTCTGTGCGTGTGTTTGTCAGTTTCTCTGACTGGCTCTCTGTCGGTGTTCGTGATTTACCATTGTCTGCCATTCAAGTTTTATCGGTTCGTTGCGATTGTTGGGTTGTCAGTTTTTGCCTGCCCTGTGACGTCTAGTGAAGTGATCTGCTGTCTATCTGTCTGTTCTTCTGTCTATCTTTCAAAGGGTTTTCTGTTTTTCTTCATTTTTTATCTCTTGCACACCTGTTTACCTATAATCATCATCGTTGCTTGTAAGAAGTAAGTGCCATAGCTTAACAAAATATCTCGGATCGTGACAGTTGACCAAAGTTTGTGACGCTGTATGAAAAGTAAAGTATCTTTGTAATTAATGGTAATAAAACAGCCAAAACGGTGTATTTTCATTCCTCGAATTTATAGTTGACGGTGCTTGGTCAAGCTGGAGTACCTGGACGTTTTGCAGCCAGTCTTGTGGAAATGGTGTTAAGGAGCGCTTCAGGAACTGCACGCAGCCAGCGCCCAGTCACGGCGGGAAAAACTGCCAAGGAGATGCACAGGAAAAGCATGAATGTAACGCACATTCCTGCCCGGGTGAGTACGTAATCTTCGTGTGGCATGAAAATGTTGCGACCAATTGAATTTTCAGATTTTATCGATTGTCTGATGAACACTCTTAGCTCGAGAGGTCGGAGTTCGAAACGTGGTTGGGTCCTTGCGTTATGTTCTTGGGGCAAACCTTTATCTCAAACTTCAAAAAATATTTAATGGAAAAGAAAATACAGCGCCATATGTGTGCTGCAGAAATTTGCTTCCGCTACGTCAATTTAAAACTTAGCATGCCACATTGCATTCTTAGCATGCCACATTGCGATTCTTTTTGAATCGCTCGAATTTTAAATATCGCTCCAGTAGTCTCATGTAATTAGCGTAATTATCAATTGCTTAATTATTCACGTTGCAGTGAACGGCGGTTGGAGTGTTTGGAGTTCTTGGTCTGACTGTGGTAAAACTTGTGGCGGAAGCGTCAGAGAACGCACTCGTTCTTGCACAAACCCACCCCCCTTTTTCGGAGGGAAAGGCTGTGGTGCACATAACCACGAAACGAAGGAATGCGCCTTGAATAAATGCCCAGGTTAGCATTGAAGCTATTTTTTCTTTAAAGTTAGTGAGATCAATCTTGTAGCACCACTCGTTCCTCGAGTTAACACTACTGTTTTAATGAAGGGCTTGGCCAATGTCTTTAACTTTCTCGTTTTTTCGTTTTATATATTTATTCATACTTTCTTTCCTTTTTTGTTACGCAGTCCATGGCGGTTGGTCCAACTGGAGCAATTGGACAGAATGTAACGTGAGTTGCGGTTCTGGTGTCGTGACGCGTGATCGCTACTGTAACAATCCCGAACCAGCCGTCGGTGGCAAACATTGTAATGGAACTAATAAGGAGAGCAAGTCGTGTAGGGCTGAAGGACAATGCATAGGTAAGTATAAAACTGGTACTGGGAGAGAGGATCTCAAAACCTGAAGATAAAAAAAAAGAGAGTAGTTTTCTTCGGAAGTGTTTTCCAGTCTTGTCGTACACCGCGCTCTCGCGATTAAGAGAGAGAAAGTGTGTTGCGTGACATGATTGAAAAGAGAGAACGGAAGAGTTCTCGGCAAAGAAGAAAAGTGACCCTCGCCAAGTTTTCGCGCGAAGCACTCGGCGGGTTTAAATTCACGGAAACGATTATTTCATTATGCGTTTTGTGTGGTGGTTGACGAAATATCTGAGAATTTAATTGATGTTCACTCTTCTTTTTTATTTCCGTTTTGTTTTTCAGTTGAGGTCGGCTGTCACGACAGCTTTTCGTCGGACAAACTTGCAAGCTTTAATGATGATATTGACTGGTCCTCTCACTTTTCTTCACAACTGCGAAAGATTATAGGAAAATGTGCTAATTTAGCTGCGGAGAAGAAATACAGATTCTTCGCAATGGAAGACTTTGGAAATTGCCATGGAGGGCATGTTTTCGTTAGTCGATCCAAGGCATCTCGGTGTAATTATGGCGTCGGTTTGAAGGGATATTACTTTGTCTATAAGGTCTCTTTGTAAATATGAAAATCTTATCAGCTGGCACATCTACGATCGCTTGGATTTATTATAATCAGCGATTAGCGATCAAAAATGAACGAGCGTTTAAAAGACGTGACTCACCAGTAATCGATAAACAATGGGTATCTAATTTCTAGCTTGCTGCTTCTTTCCATCAGCCACATTGGTGGAACGTGTCAGCTTGTTTGGATGCAATCGTTTTACCGGTTCACTCATTTGAAAAATTAGTGCTCGGGTAATCAGAGGATTGGAGAAAAATGGAGATGGCTTTGCAATCGCGGATGAGTGGTTTTCATGCGAACTTTATTTTAGTTGCAATCCTATTGAACGCTAAGAACAGTTAAAAGATTCAGTATCAAATCATACCGCGTTCTTAAAATGGAATTTAATTATGTCAGACGCAGATAGCTATACATTTATAACTGTTTTATCCTTTTTTATTGCCGGTTTCATTATCATTTTCAAAAAGTCAGACTTTGAATTATGTACGAATAAATGAAATTATTCATTTCATTCTAAAACGTTTTTTGGAAGAAGCGTTGTCTGGGAACGATTATGCAGTCACGCTGTAAATCTTATCAAGCCAAAGGCTATTGGTTGCTATTGGTTTCAAGGCTATTGGTTGTCTGAAAAATACTAGAATAGATAACTGATCAGAACCATAACTTTAACAGAAAACTTTAGAGAACCACCGTTGGATCATCAAGAAAAGAGGAAGCTAAGATGCTGACAGATGACACTTGAGCTGTAACCTTCTAGCTGTCGCCTGGCTAAGCTATGGCGCATTACTTAAAAAAGCTGGTTTATAGTGTCTGTCACGGGACTTAGAAACTGCTTACTTCCTGTTTACTTTACATGTTATCAAACCGATACAATAAAGGTTCCCTATAAATTTGTTTCTAGTCGCCTCGTAAATAAGTAGTAATTATAGACGCTTTGAGACTGGACGATGACCTGGCGTTTTAGTTTCCTGTTTCTTGATTAAATCTTAAAAAAAAAACTCTTCCCTACTGCAATCGGCAAGCTTTCACGTCCAACGGGGCCTAAGAAAGTTATGGAATTTGGACTTTGCTAACGAAATGTTTTTTTCGTGGATTTATTTGAGATCGTTTAACTTTATCTGACAATATTTCAAAGCGAATTATTTCTCATTCAATGGAGGCTGCATCTTCTAGGTGCAAGGGTCATAAAAGTTTTATAAATGCAGGGGTTTTTAAGTTTTGAAGGATGTAACGCCTTTCAAAACAGAGACTACTGGAACTCCTGAAACGAAAGAAGGTTAGCATTATTATCAAAACTCTCAAAGTTCCAACACTTTCAACGTTCGGAATTAATACTTGCCTCAGATCGGTAAGGAGGGAAAAAATACATTTTATGATAGTCGTGAATGAATCAATGCTGAAGGAAGTTTTCCCGAGACACGTTCTTTTCTCTTTAGCTTCCTCAGTGGTTGATTCAGTCCGTATTAAATAGAACCAGTTTACTCACATTTCAGTTCATCTTGGTCAAGCGGTGTTGCATAGACTGATAATTTTTATAAGACTGTATCTTCTATAAACGAGCCACAGCTGGGAAATGCATAATGAATAATCTGAGTCAGGTAATTATAGAAATGTCACATATATAGCACACTATATTTGATTGTTTTAATAGAAAACCTTTTACTGATAAATTAGTGACGCGTACTTTGAAGTAAAGCATCCGGTGATTTCGAACTTTTTAGCTCTCAAAGTTCAAAGTTTTTCTTCTCTCTTTTTTTATTATTACTATAATTAGTAGTACTTTGGAAGCTCGTTTCTTACAAAATGGTTCACCTAAATCTGTCTTAAAACACGCGAGGAGAATGGGGCGAAAACCTAAAGAAACGCGAGCAACTGTATCGGGCTCCTTTGTCCGAAGGGGAAAAAAATATTTCTTCTCTTTATCAGCTAAGAGCTCTGTCACGATAGTTATTTTGGGTTACAGACTGCAATTGGAGCAACTGCGTTTCCCCACACGTTGGTGATAATTTCCCCAATATTTCTTACCAACAGACTTTCACGAATACCTTTGCGAAAATGATGCCAAAATTGCTTTTGTCCTTTGCTATGCTCTGCTTTGCTTCGGTGGTACACCAAACAGATGGATGCCTGTTCAGCTCGGGCTGCAGCAAAAAGGACTGCGTAGTAAGTTCCTGGTCCAAGTGGAGTAATTGTACCCAGTTATGTGGTGAGGGAGGAACACAATGGCGAACACGCCGAGTGATTAAAGGAGCCAGATGTGGTGGGTCTTGTCCGTACTTGCTCGCAGATATCCGGACATGTAATAATGCATGTCCCAACGGTGGAACTCCAGTTTTTGGTCAGTGCAACTGTAAACCCGGCTATAGTGGAAAGTGCTGCACTGGAGGTAATTACAGTTGTAGTTATCGATGATTGAGATACTGACTGAATGACTGACTACGTGATTTAAGTAATGACTGACTTAGTGATTCGACCTGCTCATCTCTTCTCTTAGTTGATGGAGGTTGGTCCGACTGGAGCAACTGGACAGCTTGTTCGAAAACCTGTGAAGTTGGAATCAAATCGCGAACGCGGAAGTGCTCCGAACCAGTGCCGCAAAATGGCGGGAAATCATGTGAAGGGTTACCGAAAGAAGAAAAGAAGTGCGGTAACAAGCAACCGTGTCCAAGTAAGAAAATCACAGAGAACTACAATATGGTGTAGCACATTGAAAAATGGCGATAGTTTATTACCAGCCGTAGTGCAGAGATCGAACAAGCCACTACCCTCTCCTCCCTTCCACCTCCTATGCTCCTCTAGGAATTATCTAGGACCAATTCAACCGGAGCCGAGAAAACTGTGAAAATCTAGCGTAAGAAAAGTGTAGTAACAATCACACCAGTAGCAGAAATCAAAGCTGAAAAGTTTTTCCTCTTTTTTTTTTAGTTGATGGAGGTTGGTCAGATTGGAGTGAGTGGACTCCTTGTAGCGAAGAATGTGGCTCAGGCTTTCAAGAGCGTGCTCGTAACTGCAGCCAACCAGAGCCTAATTTTGATGGAAAACCTTGCAAGGGAGAGGCTGAAGAAGTTCGAGAGTGCAACCAGAACTGTGAAGAAGACATATTCGGTCGTTTGTTGTAAAATCGTTCCGTGTTACCCAATGAGTGCTGTCTTGTTAGTTTGTTCTAGCCTGTGTTGCTTTTTGAGCATCCGAGTTAAGTTTAGTTTGCCTTAGTTTCATTTGCTAGAGTGCTTTCCGATTTGTTATTGTCATTGAACCAATACTAAAGTAATCGCTGCAAAGAAAAAATGTCAAAAAGGGCTAATGTGTATCCAAGGTAAGTAAAGGCCAACTTGTTGAAGCATTATTTTGTCTTAAAAGGGCATTAATTGATGTTATAACTGTAAAATTCTTTCTTAGATAAAGCAAAGCATGGCCATGATAAACTAGCGGATTTTTCAATGGACACGGAAGAGCTACTTTATGATCTCGCTACACTAGTCCCATCGTCCTTAGCGGTACGCGTTAACTCATTAGTATTCAAAGAACGGAATAACTACAGAACATTACCATAACCTAACCTGGTGCAGCATCATTTATGTTTTCTTTTTTATGATGCAATTATGCCGGCCTCGCTTGGGGATATACGATTCAACATTCACTGAATGATAATTCAGATTTAAAATCTTCTTTTTGTGGTTAGTCACAGAGTAGGTTTTAGCTTCCATTGCGACATTGTTTCAATTCTACGACCGGTGCTGTGATATGCAACGAGAAATTGATTTTATGAAGATCACAGGGACTTAACTGTCATGTCCCAACAAACGGCGTAAACAAGATACGATAAGGCTGCATGGTCGATTAGAGGAACATAGATAGATATTGCACAAAATAAACTACTGTGAGAGCTAAAATTCCTTGCCACATTGTCTTTTTTTGTTTCGTTCTTTGCACCTTGTTTCAGAATTTCCTCAAATCTAACGAACTGGATTCTGACGAAAGGGGTTATTGGTGGGGTAAGGGAGTGCGGGGGACTTGTACGGTTCCAGAAACCTGTCAATTATCGGGTTTCGCTCGTCTAAACTGACCGAGAGGAAGAATGCACCCCTAGTTTTTCCAATCCTTAATAAATCTCTGTCGGCGCTAAAGCCCCCATTTTTGAGAAGGGTCGACCTGTTCGTCCTCTTTTTCTTGAATCTGGGAATCGGAGAGGAAACTAAGTACAAGTCAACACTTTTGACCGTAGAAGAGCGTAGAAGACTTAGCGCTAAAAACGGACAGGAGGAATGGGTAGGAGACATACCGTAGCAACATGGCGCCGAAGATGAAATGGCAAAACAACCTTCGCTGTCGCGAGGCAGAATATTGAGATAAGTCGTTTGAGAGTAGTCTCATGGCGAGGGCTGGAGGTAAGGCTATACCTTTTAAGAACCCGAGGTCGTAAAGAAGCGTAGGAAGAAGCTTTATAATTTCGCGTATTTATCTTATTTCGACATTGCGGGCCAGTGTATATTTTTACCTGAAAAGCTAGCACTAGCCGCGATCAACTGGCTTCAAATCTAACTAGACCTTTCTCGTCAGATGATTTCTTCTCCTTTACCCTCTGGAGGGCTGTAGAAGAATTTACTCATCGGAAAAAAAAATTCTCTTCGAAGGCTGCTACTGCACATCTGGTTTGTGATTTACCGGTAAGCCATTAAAATAATGGCCCCACCAAACTAAAATTTCAACACCCAATAGCTGATCGAAAACTGTTAGATCATGGCTTTAGTTAGGTCTTTGGTAATGCTAAGAAATAACTGTTAAGAATTTCTCCGCGATAATAGTAAATGTATTATCGTGAAACGAGATGTTACAAATCCAGCAAAAACAAACGCATAGTCCTTTTAATTTGTTGGATTAGAGTCTCAGTGTAACTGAGCAATCATCTGAGTTAATTTTTGCTTTACTTTACTCCAGGCTCAAAGTCATCAGTCTTAACTTCCCATTTGCTTAAGAGCAGAACTGGTGAATTTGATCTGGAGAGCATCAGTTTCCTGGATCTCAGTGGAATGGGTATTTACAGCTTGATGATTAAATTAAATTATAATATTTCTGGAGTAGCACATTGTGTTTTGATATTTTCTAACTAGTCAGCAGTTATCTGGATAATGCTTGTGGTTTTCCAGCAGCACTGCTGCAGCACAGGGGTTCAATTTGAGGAAGAAGGGGTACTCCATGGCTATCCAGGATAACAAAACTATCATCACAAAACATTTGGAAAGAGTTACTCTATCTGAGCCTTAGAACATTGATTATGTAGATTGTAGTTGGGATCAAAGGGGGTGACTCGTGTGCATATTTCTTGAAAAATGAATTTCAAATTATTCATTATTCATTCTGATGGTTGTTTTGTAACAAGGGTTACAGGACATCAGCTGTATTGGCGACTGTATGGGACTTCTGCATCTGGATCTTTCTGATAACAGCCTCTCTGATCTGAGTTATTTAAGTGGGTAAAACTACTAGCTATCTTTTTTTTAATAGTTACGTAAAAAAAATTGAAAAATAGTTTTTTCATGTGCTGATGTTAAGATACACTGTACTTGCATTTCTCAAGATGTATTTTAATTTTCAATATTCTAAATCACTCAGAGATCTTATTGTCAGTGCAGTGACTTTAAAAGCAGAAATTTAGTCACTGAAGAGGCTCTGTTGTTATCAGCCAAAGTAAAGGAGCATTTTGTGAAAGTTTGACCAAAAGCAGCAGCCAAGTGACAAACATTAAAGCAAAGTTGTAATTTATAGTCATTGACTTACACAGAAGCAGACATAATCATCTATTTTTATACATAAACCCTCACAGGTGTGATTTTGAAAAGAACTTGTGCAATGAAAAAGCTATTATAGCCAGAAAAAAAAAAGAAAAGGCCAAGGAAAAAATAAAATTAAACATGGAGACATTTTCCAAACAGCGACATACAAATGTATGTCAACACAGTTTTTCCACATGAAATGTGATACGTACATGTAAAAAAATGTATCGGAACTTACTCTCCAGGTGAACTAAAGCTCCTTGAGACACTGAATGTGTCATGTAACAGGCTGTCTTCCCTTGGTAAGTGTAAGAAGTTGTAATTTACACATAATTATAGTCATTGACTTATACAGAACTTGAACATTAAACATATACCTCTTGTAGGTGTGATTTTTTAAGATTTGTTAAGAATTTTGGATTTGGTAATAAATTTGTTGAGAATTATGAAAACAACTATGTTGCACTGTATATGAACCATTTTTAACTGATGTGATTCATATTTAATGAATTTTAAGATTTTTTAGCAAGCTTAATTATGGTTATTCTTATGTTAAGAGCACAACTTATTCATTTACATGTCTGTGGGCAATTCCATGCAAGTGGTGTCAGAGACCAGGTTTTTAAAAGCAAGTTTAACTTGAAATTAATTACTCTGTGCTACAATGTTGACAAGTTACAGCATGCAGAAAAATAAATTCCAGCTCCCTTGTGATAACCATATATTCAG